ATACAATCATGAGAAGATTGCTTATAAGTTCGACAAATCTGAGTTGAACTTATCACAAATCGAATATGTTCATGTTAGTGCTGGAAGTCAAGATGTTCCAATTCGTAACTTGAGAATTCATCATGAGCGAATCGATGAATTACATCCGACGTCTGATAAGGATTTTGGAATAAATACATCTGAACTGATAAGAAAGCGCCGATCATCGGTGGATCACATTGCCCCCAGACATCATCATCCAGATGCGGCAAAAGAAAGCCATGACGTATATTCTAAACCATTAAAAATACGATCGGCTTCCGTTGACAGTCCACGCTCGCCTCATTTGGCTCAGCCACAACCACCAAAAAAGGTGGGCGTGTTGAGAAAAATAAAACGCTTTTTTTTTGGCACAGTTACGGTGGACCAAAAGCAGGTAGCACAAGCAGCTGCCTATACTGAACATTCTTCTGATGTGTCAACTACAGATATGCCAGAGTACGATCAACCAATTTACGAAATAGTCGAATCTAAGCCACGACGAGACAGGGCACCATCGCCGAAACGCAACTCATCAAGATCGAGGTCACCATCGCCAAAGGCTCGACCGCCACCGAGACCTAGAACACCGCCACTGCATTCATCAAAGCTACCTCTTTGTCGTGATTCTATCTACTGTCTCAATCAAAATGTTAGGGCACATACCGATGAATTTTCTCACATATGTCGTTTCAACGATCAGTGTCGAAAACAGGCAGATGAACCACACCTTGTTCATCAAAATCACAAGGTTCCACGATGTACAGATGACAGAGATTGTAGGAAAAAAGCCGATCCAGTACATCGTGCACAATATCGCCATAGAGGTTTATCAGATTTTCTTATGCCATGTCAATATCAAGAGCTTTGTTACGATAAATCTGATGAACATCGTCTGAGATATTTTCATGGAGAAGAAATACCGTCATTCAAAAGTAAGTTGTCTTTGAAGATGATTTTCTGTTTTCAATGTTAGAAGGTGTTAAATCTTGAATCTATGTTTAGAACACAAACCACTGGCACCTGTCATTGCTAGCACCCGGTCAAGAGCAGTGATTCCTTGCAAATTTGGTAATGACTGTCCAAATAAGAACGATCCGAAACACAGTGCAACATATTCACATCCTACTTAATAGGAAGAATTTCTGTTGTGAAAAAATGAGCTAGACTTTTCAATAAATCTATCACGAAGAAAGCTTGTGAGGTGATCAACGCATTGATTGTCTATCTTTTGACGCACAATCAGATTTGAATGATGTATAAAAAAGCTCAAATGAACGTGGGTTTGACGAAGTTTTCATAAGAATGATAGCAATCGTTGATTTAGCTCTTTCGATTTGAGGGTAAGGCGAATATGAGCTATTCGAAGAAGTTTTTGATTTAAATGATACCCAGTAAGTTGGAAGCACTTATTGTCCGAAAGTCATCAAAACAAACTCATGAGGATGAAAAAAAAGCTTTTGTGTGATTTGACAATCAGTTAGTGAAGTGCAGGTGGCTGACGCAAATTGGCTTCGTTTGACCACGCGGCATATTGTAAACTATCCATCAAACTAGAATGACGATTTGTTTCTAACAAATTATGATCTTGTCCACCAATGCGTTCTCCACAGTCTGGACAGTCGCTAACTTCATTAGCACCGCCACACTAAATGAGAAAAAAAGGGACATTTCTTTTTTTTGTCTTTAAAAACAACTTCTTACTTCAGTAATAACATAAGGATGGCCGTTTGGACAATTTCAGTGCGCTAACGATAGACTTTCGTTCATCTTCGTTTATTCGTAAGCCTGGCAGATTGTTTAAATATTGAAATTTCTCTACCAAAACATTAAATTTTGCTTGGTCATCATCAGTAAATGGGCCAACTTTGCTTGTCAGGTTTTGCATACAGTCTAGACCATCTTTTTCATGCGCTTCTAAACTTCTTTTAATTGAACAGATAAAACTCTCAATATAAATTACTCGACGAATTCGTTTTAGTTCTGAGTCGATATCGTTTAACTGTTGTTCGGCAAAATTTCTGCCACAACGTTGTGTAAATAAGTAGTTTTTAACAAGAGACAATGAAGAAATAACTCGACGTTTGAATACATCTTTCGGCAATTTTTTAAATCCTTCTGCTGCAGTTTTGTCAATATCAATAAGGAATCCAATAATATTCGTAAATAAATTCAACTTATCATTAGAAAAGAAGTGGTCTTTGGATGTTAAGATCGAGAAAAAGTCTTTATTAGTTGGGTGAAGAACAATTTCTTTCGAACTCATTTTCATTGTTTCGTATTCTATTAATAGTTCTTGTCGGCATTGATTCATTTCCTCCTTGGATTTGTCGCCTAAGATTTTCTTTTTATCTTGCGATATCAAACCATAGACTTTGTTGAACACTGGCGTATATCGTGTACAACGATAAATTCTCCGTGAGCAGCGTGGGCATACAGGAAAACGAATGGCGGTCTTGTCATTTGACTCATTGACGAACTTGTTAATCGATTGATCGAGTGCAGTTACTTGAATTATATGTTTGCAATCAGGTAAGAAAACAAAACGTGCATCAGGCTCGCCTTCGTAAACGAAGAATATTTCTTGCACAAAATCTCTATCACATATGCGACATTTTTGAGGGCATGATTCCCCATACATTCCGATACCTAAGAGAAAACACTCGGGTGATATGTATCTGCTTAGAAAATGGCATAGCATCTGTCTAAGTTCAGGAAGACTGCTATGAATAGATAAAGAATGCTCAGTAACGTTGAAGAAAAGTTCGAATGTCTAATTATAAAGAACTCGCCTACTCACTATTTATGAAGATAGTTAGAAATTACAGTCATACATCATGTCGGTGAATTATTAACGGATCGATTAAAAAAAAAGCATTCACGTTGTCAATAATAGAGACTGTAATTATCATCAAATCCAATTGTCTAAAAGCCGTCATGAACAACAAAGATTGACAATTACACGCTTGCTTTGTCATATATAGAAATCAAATTGTTCATGAGTTTTTCTCAACATGTTCTCATTTCGTTAAAGGGAAAGATGTTAAACAGCACATGCGACGATTGATTTTATCTGCGTTCATGAAAATAAGTGGAAAGGAGAAGAAGAGTCAGACAAGTGTTCCGCTCTTTCTATGATAACAGGAAAGAGAGAGAAGAAAAATAAACGTCAGACCTGTCTTTTATTTTCATATTCTTACAAGAATTGACACACATAAAACAGGTAGCAATTAACATGTAACTCTATCATCATTTCTCTCATTGGTTCGGTATTTAATCTCCTAATCATAACCATTATCATCAACTATCGAAAATGTCATAATGTCAACTATTTTCTTATGGGTGATCTATGCATGTCCTCAATTGTATACTTTACTTTGCATATTATCGGAGGTTATTACGGTATTCGTGATGATTGGCACTCTCATCAACCATTATGTGTTTTTTCGTGCGTATTGCATCGTAGTATCGATATCTGTAATGACCTATTCGTTCTCAATCCAAGCTATCAGTCGTTTATTTTTTTCGGTTTTTTACACGCATTTATCTTTATTTAATTGGCGCGCTCATCAGATTTTGATTCTAGTGGAATGGTTCGTGAGTTTCGCATTAGGAATAAGACTGATTTGTATTGATAATGTTTTTGAATTGATTGAAGAACATCGCATGTGTGGAATTAGAACTAATAAACTACCTGTTGCACCATATTCAATTGGCTTTGTCTATGTTCTTTCAAAGAGTATTGCAATCATAATCTATGCTATTGTTTTTCATCAAGTTCGCCTATCATCGAAGCGAGTGAAATCGAGAAACGTGACAAATATCACTACAGCTTGTATTCCATTAACATTTGTGAAAAAGAATTTAATCGTCATGCGGAACATGTTTGATTATTCTAAACATTCTTGTTTGCGGTGAAACGCCGTATTTGATATTGATGCTCTGGGATTTCATTTCCAATGGGAATCCCCCAAAGCAATTCTATTTTATATCAGCAAATTCTTTAGTATCAGTAACGGCAATGATGGCAATTGTTACTTTTTTCAAAGATAAAAGACTTCGAAATCGAGCGTATACTTGGTTTGTGCAATCGAACGCGAGTGCTCGAAGTTAACCTGTGTTTTAATGACTTTCTTCGATCAAAACGAGTCGACGATAATTGATTGCAAGGTCAATTTATAGCTTTTGAAAAATAATATATTGAGAAGAATGTTCTGTTTTGAATTTTTTCAAAACACAACTCATTAGTAACAGCTGTTGCCATCACGACATCTCCGAGTCTTGCTCGCTGAAAATTTCCTAGTAATTGTCGAAGCAAACAGTTCTTAGGCATATGGCTATATACTCACGTTCTATTTGAAAATATGAGTAATGACTTTGTGTTTTTGGCTTACGGATTTATTATTTGACAATACAGTCAGAAAAGATTAGCACGTGTTCGAATAGGGTACCGCTTGCAATGTTCATCATTTGAAGCTATTTCAAATGTATTCCTTGTTTTCGAAATGGCATTGCAATATCTCATTCAAATTATTATTTTCCAATGAGCAAACATCGTTGCCTAGTACACGTCATTATCTGTTCATCCTCAGCCATATTTTCCCGTTGCTCTATTATATCTTTCTTCTCTAATAGATATGCTTTTATCTGCTTGAATTTTCACAAGCATAATTCATGTCAAAAGGCTGCCATTAACGTCTGATCGAAAATGCTTAATGTCGATTTCTATTTTTTCAAGCGTCATTTAAGTGCTGGAAAAATTCTCTTAAAAACATCAGTAGATGCTCATTCTATTCCATCCTCAGGATATTTTTGTTATCTTATTATTGACTTTCACCTTCTTGTATCCATTTATTTTAACCATATTTCCCCAAGTGACATCTAACCATTAATATCAACATGAATGTCCCTTCAATCGTCAATCGAATCTACATTTTTGTCAGTTGTCTGGATTCCATTACGGCATTCGCATTTCTTACATTAGCTCTTGTTTATCGACATCAATGCTTCAATTTCCCAGCACTCTTAGCATGTAATACCGCGCTAACAGTCTTTTTCAGTTCGGCTAATCACGTAGCAATAGGTGTGTATATGTTCATTTGGGATCAATATGAGAATCCTAACATCGATACTTTATGCTCATTACGTGCGTATTTTCATCATTCTACTATGGCTTGCATTCATTTTTCGTTTATCCTATTAGCTCTTGAAAGATACTGTAAAGTTCGACAACTTAAACTTCTGGCAACTCCATGGCGAAAGACTTGTACGGTGCTTTTCCAGTGGATAGTTGGTTTTACTTTTACTTTACCTGCTCTAGTGACAGGCAATATGCCAAAGATGGCATCGGATAACTTATGTTTTGTAACATTGTTAAAACCCGAGTTTATGGTATATCAGAGTGTGACAACATTATTGACGACCGATGTTACTTTAGGTATTCTTTATCGATCATTAGTACGTCATGTGCGCGAAGTTTCGTCAAAACTCAATAATAATCAACAAACGTGGATGCGCCGCGATTTGACTATGGTTCGTCGTATTGTTCTACTCAATTTTCAATTAGCTATCGTTGGAATACCAATACTCATCGTTGTTATTCTTACTCTCATTCGTGTTGATCTTATACCTCACAAAATTATGCGTATGCTGCTTCTCTTATCGAATTTACCTTTCTCACCTATGTTAATTGTCCTTCTATTACTGACGCCGGACCTTCGAAAAAGTTTAATTGAATGTCGAAATAAACTGAAACATTGTCGATCAACCGACATTACTCCCGTTCACCCAATAGTATTCATCAACCACGCTCAACGGTGAAATGTTAGAGAGTCACCAAAAGACATACAGTCGCTGATGATGCGTAAAACTTTCTCATGCATTTCGTATCGTTTTAATAATAATAACTTTTCATTGGTAGGAGAAAACCAATCATTGAAATAAATAAACAAATGTGAATAATTAACCATGTGATACGCCTGACGACGTGTATTTTGCTTGCTAACTGTATCATGTGTACTTTTTTTCTCTCACCTATATTTTTCTCTCACACACATATATATTCACAATAAGGTATACGCCCTTAATTTCATTATTCAAAACGGGTACCTGCACTAGGGATACAGTTTGGTGAGAAATGTATAGAGATCAGTCGTTGAAAGTCATTCTCCCACATCATTCACCGGAAAAGTCTTTTCTACATGAACAAAACCGTCAGCGAACACTATCGAATCTATCATCCGTCTCTTCGTCCAATGCTTACAATGCACGGCAAGCATCATTTTCATCAGCGTATTCTTTTCAAGATCGTCCATCGATTGATAACGACGAGTTTTCCAGTGACGATGATAGTTTTCAATACTACGATCGACGCTTCTCACAGATTAATCGTCGACAACGTCGTACTTCGTTACAATCTCTTAAATTAAAGCAACGATCATTATCAACATTCAAACCGAATACTCTTACTCTTCCCGCAATTACTAGAGAGATTACTATTCCCAAAGTTGACAAAGATCTCTATGGGCAAACACTGCTTCATTTGGCGGCTCGTCTTGGTCATAGCGATATTCTTCGCCTACTGATTAGTGAAACATCACAAGCGAGTTCGCTGTTGAACAAACGAGGACAAACACCATTGTTAGCAGCAATAGAAGGAGGATCGACAAATACTGCAATTCTACTGCTAGAATCTGATCCGCAGTTTATTATATATGCTGATCATCAAAGATCGAATGTATTCCATTATGCATGTGAGTACTCCAATGACGTTGTCCTTAATCGAGCTACTGCTCTTCTCAAATGTCTCAATTCGTTGAGCGATCGAGCTGTTGTAAGTTGATTGATTTTGTTAGAAAAATTTCTTCGGACGGATTTTTTCTAGGGCTTGAGGCTTGTGACAGAACAAAATTTTCTTGGTCGAAGCCCAATTGATATTGCCATATGGAAAGGTCAATTAAAATGCGTCAAACAATTCTTTCGCTCGCCATGGTTGGAGGCTCACGTTGATATTCGAGAATTAATTACCACTGATTCATTGAAATGTGCTATCGATCACGATCAATTAGATATTCTCTCGTTTTTCATCAATGATACCAAACGGTTTGCTCATATTATTCAGCTAGTCATCGGTGTATGTGGACAAAGTTTTAATCTAGTAAATACCCTTCTGAAAAAAATCGAATTATAATTCTCTCATTCCTAGCTTGAATATGCCATACATTTGAAAAAGAAAAACATCGTTCGATTATTACTCAGTGTTTATATTCCAGCCGAACAACACATTGTTCGTCAGCAGTATAAATCATTTCTACTGCATTATCATCTATCTGATTCGGGACCATTTTATCAAACTCCCATTCAACGAATGTTAACCTCACCGGAATGTATTTCTTTGGTTCCATTGATGTTAGAACAGTTTGTCGACGCCACTGGTATTGACCTATCGGTTATTGATGATTGTCTCTACGTTCGACCTGATCAGACACGATGTATATTTGGGCGAGGAAAGAAATTTCTAGCAAGAGATTGGTTACAACAGCATCCCCTCGGTAGGTGTTAATCTTGTCTTGGATACATGAAACTGTTTCTCTTTTGTTCAGCTTTGATTGCAAAAGCAAATTGTAAAACGATTTATGATCATCAATTAGTTCGAATATGCGTTGATTTAAAATTTAATATCTTCGGAAACTGTCTCTATATTCTCATTCTCGGTTTCCAATCCTTGTATGTAGCATTGTACACAGGAATTACATTGGGTTCGCCAACTCCAGCGAAGCAGGGCACTAATTACTATCAAACGATGAATTACTCGTGTAAAGACTTATGTATTCAATTGTCAAATGATCCAGTTAACCCAGCGCGATATCAACCAGCAATATACGCATTCCGTCTTATCTTATTAATTCTATCTTGTTTGGGTTTATTGAAAGAATTTTATCAAATGTTCACGCAACGAAAGAAATATTTCCATCGATTTTATATCAATCTTATTGAATTACATATCTTTGTAAGCTTTCATTTAAATATTGAAGCAAATTATCATTTGATATTCGTATAGGTCAGTGCAATAATCTACTCTGTTGATGTTAATGAATGTACACGTCAAACGGGTATACGTTGTGCAAGCCAATGGATGACCGGTGGGATTGGACTTCTTTCTGTTTGGACATCATTGTTATTAGTAGTAATGAATGGAATTAAATTTGGAAAATATGGCCTTCTTTTCATCACCGTATTCACAACATTTCTGAAATTTATAGCCGTGTATATATTCATTTGGGTAGGCTATATTTTAGCCTTTTACATGATATGTAAAGATATTATGGAGCAGTTTTTACCATTCAATTTCGTTCCAAAGCTATTAGCCATGTTCATTGGTAAAAAACTTGGATTGTAGGGATAGATGAATTTCAAATTTTTCTCTCATATAGGTGAATACGATGTGGACGGTACTTTTTTTCCCAATAACAATCAGTTGCTGCCAGGCGCGGAAGGCGCATTGATTCTCTATAGTGCATTTATCTTTACTATGTTCATTGTAATGACAAATATAATGGTAGGCGAACAGAAGATCATCTTGTATGAAATCGAGAATATATTGGGCTTTTCTTTCATCTAGGGCGGCCTTGCCGTTGCTGACGTGAAAGAATTCCGGCTCAATGCAAAACGAGAGCATTTAAGATCTCGGATTGATGTCATATTAGGATTGCAGGTTTATCTAGGTGGGTTCTGTGAAACCATTGGTTCGATTATCATGAAAATATGTCGGAATCCCAAATGGCGTTATTTTTTGAAGATACTTGGTTCGATAGGACCGAAATATCAATTAGCAAAACTTCATATCATCTCCAATCCTGTGGACATTCCTTATCCAATAATCGAGGTTGAACAAAATGAAAGTTTACAACATCCGTTGGTACTCTCTATGAACGAACGATTGCAGCAGGTGTGTCCGCAAACAGGTTTTTATATTCATCATCGTACGGTGCGGAATCCTTCGTTATTTTATGGAGATGAGAATACGATATTACTGAAGAAAAGCGACGAGGTAAAAGACATATTAGAAGAATCGAACACACGGACAAATAATGAATTGAGAAAGTTGGCATTAAATTTACAAAATGAATTAGAAGATATTAAACGACGACTCAATCGATAGAATGATGTAAAAGCTAGTTTTCCGTACTTATACGTATAATATGTTTGTTAATTTTCATTGACTAAGTCAAAATTTAATTACATTTTTCTGTTTTTTTTTACTTGTTTGTCGAAGCGATTCCGATGCTTCATGCACTTCAATAATATGCTCCCGCGTGCTTTCACACGTTTCTTCATGTACTGGTACATACTATAAATACATACAGCTCCCAACGTATGGTTAGTAACCATCTGATCGATTCTCATTCACTCTGCTAGTTTGGTTATTACCTGGGATCCGGCCAGCGTCGTATATGATCCTGGCGTCAATTATCGATTAGTCCGGGAGGATAATTTTGAAAATGTTGGTAAGAGCACGGCAATCATCAATGGAGCACCTGCCTACCCACCTAATCCTGCGAATTGGAGGTTTAAAGACCGGTACTCAATTTGGTGGCGCACAAAATTTCACAACTTCGATTTAGAATGCGTATGTTCAAAATGGTCAACTAACAATCGTCGCATATAAAGAAGAATATCCATCAGCAATGCTATCAATTGTTGATCGTAAAGAATTCACATTTGGAAAATTTACAGCCAATACTCAGTTACCTTACGGGCAAGGAATATGGCCTGCATTTTGGATGGTAGGAAACGCTTGGTAAATGTACTACTACTATTGACCAACAATTGATGAAATTGATATTATTGCAACCATCGGCGGTTACCAATGAGGTGATCCCAATGATCAACGCGCTCATGGTGGCAATGTTTGGAATAAAGCATCAAATTCAATACAACAAATATACCAAACTCCGTTAATTCCGTCGATTGCTGGAGTGAAAAACGACCTTTTTACATCGATTTAGATTTAACCATAGGTGAAGGATGAGTCGATGCACCTGACAATACAACCGTTTCGGCACAGAAGATGATTTTTTACTGGGTTCAAGTTTATCAAACACGTTAAACAAGCGATATCTATTACGGAACAAAGCTTTACGCTGAGCGTGTAGACTTTTTAAATAGTTTTCTCAATTTTCTTTTGTGTTTAACAGACGTGCGAGTGTATAATACGTGATGTGAAACCAAATATATTCCTATTAATCCAACATGATAAATAACAGAAAAAAAGATGGCAAATAAACCAACAGTAGACTTTAACAAAAAAAAATGATTTTTACAAGACCTTTTGTGATAGTCTTGGAGGTTAACGATGGCGCTCATGGAAACACTATGTTTTATATTTCTTTTGTCTTTTGCTGAAACCACTGTTTATTTATATCATACTGAAGATAGTCTGTCAGCTGAATTTTATGATTGTGTGTACCATAACGATCTTCTCTATTGCCGTCGCCCAAGCACACCGATTGTTTTACAACGTGACAGTCATATACAACGCTGTCATCATAACGGCAAGGCTCATTCATTTGCTTCGATCATCAATGACTCTATTGATGTGAATTTTATTCTGCATAATTGGAATTCTGGCATCGAGATGGTAGAAGATTATTTGAATCGTGTAACAGACGAGGACGATAAATACATATGTGAATGCACGCATTCACGATCGTTTGGAAAATATTGTGAATATCAGTTACTATTGGGAGAAACATTTGAAGAAGAACTTATATGGGAACAAATAAAAAAAAAGCGAGATCCAGATGAATTGCAAGTGTACGGTGATATTTTATGCTATGAAACATTGAGATGTGATTCTGGTCTATTGTGTCTGGATTGGCGCGATATTTGTGACGGCGTACAACAATGTATGTTGGGGTATGATGAAGAAAACTGTGATAAGCTAGAATTTAATGAATGTGAAGATGACGAGTATCGATGTGTGAACGGAATGTGTATTCCTGACGAATATTTTCTTGATGGTGACTATGATTGTATGGATATGACAGATGAAATGGGATACGATGATGGATCCGATTGTGCACTTCAGCAAGTGAACAGTGGGTGTGATGATCGGATTTGTTTACGAAATCACTATTCGTGTGGTGACGGCCAATGTATTTTGGATCGTCTAGCTTTTCAGAATCCATCAAAGGAAGAAAAAACATGTAAAAGTTATCGTGAACAGTATTATATGTGTGAGACTCATAGTTCCCAAAATCTATGGACGTTACCCAATGGCAAATGTTCGTCAGAGAAGGACTACGAAGAAACCAATGTTTTAAATCGAACCAATTCTGAACTATGTATTTATTTCTTGAAATGTGCTCTTTCGAACGGTGTAGAAAAGAACTGTGCCAGTAGGAGCAATGACAAGGACTATGTTGGACAACTAAGAAGGTATTGCCACTCGTCGTCCATTCAATACCCTACGGGTGCCATAATTGCTCCTTACTTGCATTATTTTTATAACATCGAACAGTTACGGGAAAATGACATACCTGACTTTATCGCGCTCAATGCAACTATTAGATGTCGACAATATATAATCCAACATTACGCAAATGTGCCATACTCTACGCACCCATCTCTTCGGCAATGGGAAGAATTAATATGCACGTCTCAAGTGGAGAATTTCTCTGTTCTTGAAGTAAGTAACGATGGGCCCTGTTACAATGATTCTCAAACCTTTACAGGTCAATCCTATAATGTCATTGATGTGTGCAGTCGCTCGAAAGAATGCATCTCTGCATATCGCATAGCAGATGGATCTGTTGATTGCGCAGATCAGATGGATGAAACTGAAGATAATAGAATTTTGGTATTACAGACGTGTTTTACGATGCGCCGACATCGTTTTCGATGTTCTCCTAAACAACTTACATGTTTACCTATTAATCGTTTTAATGATCATATAGCTGATTGTAAGGATAATCACGATGAAATATTTCCATCAAGACTAAAGTATCACAGAAGATCAAAAAATGACCGCGAAATACTTAGACAATACATTGAAAATTCATGGAAAGGTGACAACGTATTTCAAGTTGTAGAATATATGTCATTCCGAGGCTATTGCAATACATTTTGGGACGAAAAATCACAAAAAGACGAGGACAGTAGTATTTGTAAAGACTGGTGGATATGCTCTGAGGATCAGTGGCAATGTCATTCGGGGCAGTGCATTGATATTGATTGGATTCTAGATGGAGAATGGGATTGTTCCGATGCGTCAGACGAACAAGCAATTTTCTTCACTAATCATTCATTATCTTCACATAACTTCGATTTAATCAACGGTTCCATTCTGGAAGAAGATTTTGAAATATTATATGATGAGGAGCCATTTTGGAATATTTGTAGTTTGGACACGGAATTTCCATGTTTTCCAACTAATTCTTTTCATTTATTGAGTGGTACTAGTAAAATACGCCCGTGCATCAGTCTTGAAAAGGTTGGCGATGGTCATGCTGACTGCTTGGGTGCTCTAGATGAACGAAATACAATCGAACACTGCAACAGTGGTCGTATGCTCGGCTACGATTTTCAATGTTTATCGACCAAAACGTGCATTGAATTTTTTCAGGTGTGTATTACCAGATGTCCTAATACCGCTGATGATAATCAAGTGTGTACGGGCATAACAGACTCCGATAACTGCAGAACCTATAATGATTTTCGATGTTGGAATGGAACTTGCATTAATAAAGGATGGTGTAACGGTGATCAAGAATGTTTACACGGAGAAGATGAATACTTCTGTGAAATCCCAAATGTCGAAAACGAAATTGTCAAAGTTAGTTATCGCAGTCACAAGAAAATGCTTGACTTGATTATACCAAAGGAATTAAATTTACCAGTGTTTCCTTATGCAGCAAACATATCAGAAAACATCACTGGAAACAATCCTACAATATTAAAAAGCATCAATATAATCGACAATATTTATTCGTCGATGCCTTATGTATGTAATCGAGGCGTTGGCATTCTCACATACAAAGATTCTGTAGTCTGCTTCTGTCCTGAGCAATACTACGGTGACAAATGTCAATTTTATAGTGATCAATTCACCGCAATTTTTAGTTTGAATATCTCCAATTCGAAATATACAATGAATACAAATGCGGTAGTAGTACTCAAGATGCTCGTTTTATTCTTATACAGAAATCAGTCACTTGGTATCAAAGAATTTCATGTCCGACCGAGTGTTGAACTTACTAATCCTACGAAACAAATGCTTCGTTTCCTCTACCCACGAACGAATGCATCGTTAGAGAGAAAACGGAAGCGACGCTCAAATCGATCAGATATTATCTATGAACATCCGTATTCAGTTCAAATCGAAGGCTATGAACTAAAGCAAAATGAAACGCCACTTTTGATCGGTGTATGGAAATATCCGATTTATTTCGACTATCTTCCATCATTTCGTCTTGCTAAAATTTTAGGTTTAACCAATGTGGATGGCGTCTATGATCCGTGCTTGAGTAACCCATGCAATAAACATTATAAGTGTTATCCACTTCTCAATCAACCACGCAATTACATTTGCTCTTCATCTAAACATGAGTCCTATACGAACTATTGCGCATCAAACGCTTTGTATCGACGTGATATTCGATTACCTGCATACTGTATTTGTCCATTAGAACGTTATGGACGTCGGTGTGAACTGTTGCATGACCAATGTAATGAAAATCCTTGTCAAAACAATGGCACTTGCCTCCCATCAATGAAACCAACTGAGTACTATTGCATATGCACTGATCTATATCATGGCAAACGGTGCGAATTTCCAAAGCAAATAATTTCTCTGAGTATCAACAATACTGCTGAATGTAGAGCGACAGTTATTCAATATTTTCAAATAAATGTTACTACATTGAATTTGATTTTGATTTCTCAGCATGTTTACACACGACTCCCTAGTCGATTGACCAATTTACTTAGTGAGTTGAAGCCACCTGATCTTATTGTTGCTAAACAATACATCGATATCAATCAAGTTCATATTTACATTATTTCAATACAAATCAATGGCACATCGAGCAACATCATGACATACATGAGTGAGATCAATCGTTGCGTAAATGTACGTAGCTTATTTCCGGAAACTGAAAGCGAAATTCATGCATATAAATATCATCGTCTTTGTCGAAAAAATTCAACTTTATTCTGCTTCTATGATCCTAATTATCTATGTATTTGCGACAAAGATCACTATCGTGTTGAGTGTTTCGGTTATAATCACAATATCGAACGATGCTCATTCTGCTTTGCCAATGGACAATGCTTAATAGAAGATCGTCGACATCGAGAGAATTACATATGTCTTTGTCCGCGATGTCATTCAGGTCGATTATGTCAATTTAGTGATGATGGATTAAGTTTTACTCTCCATTCAGCTCTGCTACGTGTTGAGTATGGTTTTCAGATAATCTATTGCTGCGTTGTTTTTCTTATTTTTCTCTTCGGTGCGATAACCAATTGTGCAACATTGATTACATTTAATCGACCAAATTTACGAAGTACGAGTGTTGGAATTTATCTTTTATTCTATGCAATGATTAGTCAAATGACACTGTTTTCATTGTTATTGAAAAGTCTTCAAGTACTTTTAGATTTTCTAATAGATGATACCTTATGTAAAATCATCTCCTATCTACTTTCAATTACTCTTCGATGTTCGCTGTGGTTTATCAGTTGGGTGGCGATTGTGCGTGTAGTTTACATCCGAGTTCTTTTCTCCACTCTATTTAAAAACGTTCATCTTGCAGTAAAAATCAGTTTTATGACGTTGATTATCATTGCCTCGATGGATATTCATGAACTATTCTTCTATGTCAAAGATCCGAGCGGACAATCAGCTTGTATTGCTCACTATCCATCGATTGTATCCATGTATGAACGTGTCACTGTCATTCTGCATCATACTATTCCATTCTGTATTCAAATCCTGTCAATTACGGGACTTATCATTTTGGCAGCGCGTAGTCGTTCTCGTGCGACAAATCATTCGGAGACATTTTTCACATACCTTCAACGGCAATTTCAAATTCAAAAGGAAATGTATATCGTTCCGCTAGTCGTTATAATCAGTGGTTTGCCACAATCGATCTTTTCATTTAGTTTCTCATGTATAGATCTATCGTCGTGGCAGAAACATCTGTTAATTCTTGCGTACCTTTTCGCTTATGCACCACAAGCACTTGGTTTTATCCTGTTTGTTTTACCTTCAAGTAGTTATTTGAAAGAATTTCAAGCAACTAGCCTGTCGAAAACATTCATTTTTCGATTCGTTTTGTCTGAACTGAAGAAAAGTCATCTTGTACGGACCACGACAGTGACGTAGTTTTCGAACACTCACCAAGCGTGGGGGTGTGGAAATATGCTCGATACTTGCGCATTGATCGATTGATTATTACGTATTAAAACACTGTGAAAGTAGATGTTCTCGAGTTCTAGTTGTTCAACGTCTCGTTTTTATCTTTTTATTCTCGTACGATATTAATTATTCCCTGCTCTTGTTCTTTTAAACATACAGGCAACCTGATAATAATAAAAATGTTCTAAAATCTAGAGTTTTGATAGGGTTCCTTGTTTAACTGATGCCCAAATTGGAGGAACTTTATGTCGATTGGACGGATTAAGTCGAGCACGCTCCATCAATGCTTCATACACTTGCCCATCGTAACGGCCCAAGCAAGAATCTATTCGTTTAACAAATGTCCATGTTGATCAGAAGTTTTCAAGGGAAATAACTATTAACTCACCCAATTCAAAATCGTGAAAATCGAACGCATCAACTAGAGTAACAAGATTCGGACGAAGCTGTACGTACAGATCCGGTAAAATGCGAGTTTCAAGTTCGTAGATTTGATCAGCGGATAGCAATTTCAACTATGGCACAAAAAAATTGAATCAGATCTCACTGCATCATTATAAAAGACTTACTCGAACGAAATCTGTCGATGTATTTCGTAGTGTATGAATTGCATATACATAAAAAAGTTGCTCGAGAACCAATGCAATCGATACATGTTGACATGCGTTCTGTACTTGATCATAAAATGTACGGATGATGAATGTTTCCATATGAGCCTAAATATGAAGGAAAGCGAAAGTCTTGAAAAGAACGGAATATTCAATAATGTCGTTCTATACCTTAGCCATATGTACTAATTCAATGGAATTCTGAATAAATGCATCATATGGAGATGATGATGTTGATTCGAGCATTTTACCATACATCTCTTTGACCAATCTACGGAAGGCATGAGCAAAATGATCTGTTTACCATAGAGAACAAAGCTTACAATTGTGAACGGCTTTCAAATAGACGACAATAATCGTCCAATATCAAGCTCGTTGTTGTTGGTGACCAGAGTGGTAAGTTTAAGTATGCGACCGATGCGTGTAGATCTCCACCATTATTTTCCTCTACTTGTTGCATCACTTTCAAAAGATATCTATTCCAAAAATCGTCTTTTTTATTGACTGAAAGAACGGATCATACCTGGCAGTTTGTTGAAGCAAAACAACATTATCCCCTTCTGCGCTACAACCTCCATCAATTCCATTTCTCGATGTGACTAATCCACTTGCAACGAGAAAACCATGACCACCGCAAGCGACACGACATATTTGTGCGATTCGTTCACTGATTGATAATGTGTAACCTTTGAATCCACACGAAAGCGCATGAAGCTATAATTCAATGGATACATTCATTGAAAAAGCAAGGCTTGATATAGAAGTTTACCTGAGGTAATTCTCGGAAATAATCATCATCATTTGTTTTCAATTGAAAAAAGTAGCGATCAAGTTTAATAAAAGCAATGAGAAACGCATAAGTGGTGGACAAGCTCGGAATTAATTTTTCTTGCTGTAATGGATAATCGAGTATTTGTGTTTCTTTTCTAAGCATGTAGAATGGAAAAATTCAATTGCTCTAGTGTTAAATTGAAACCGTACCCTGATGGATTTAGTCCTTGAAATCGAACGGCTGAATATCGTACTGCAATAGCCATAGCTCGAATCAAAGCCATCAACGTAGTGTTAATGAGACGTAGACGTTCGTGTACCATTGTGCCATACAAAAGACGAGCATCACCTCGCCGTGTGAAATGTCCATTTGAATCGACCTGCTCGAAAAGAGAAATGAGAAATTTAGAGAGACAACATCGAATCATACATGCGCTAGTTTCATGAACATCTGTGTACGTGGAATACGAACATTGGTTAATCGTAAGTATCCATTATCGCCAAGGATATGCGCAAACCGAGTACTAATCTCGCCAACCTCCACACCTACAAATCTTATACAATGAACAGATGATTTACTATACGAAACAATCCTACCTGGCAATGGTTGGTGCGTTTTCAAATCACGAATTTGCACTAAAAACATTTGAATTCCACACGCATGATTACGATCGGGTGTGTATAATTGTGCCATAAGCAAAACATGATTCACGGTTCTACCCATTGAACCAGGCCAAAACTTGGTTGCTGTTAACGTTGGCGTATTCAGTATGAACGAATCAGTTGTTTTATCGAAAATAGCTTCTGTTTCCAATCGTCTTATATCAGTTCCATGGCCAAGTTCTGTTTGAGCATAACTTGCTATGATTTGAAATGATTCTGCTAATGGTAACAGTGTATGTTTCTGTTCTTCACTTGCCAGATTCTCAATAGCATAGATACACATGGATGTGTGAATGTAAAACGAAAAATAATAGTTCACGAAGATGTCATAAAACCAACCGCGGTGTTTTCGATTGGTGATATTCAAACGATTTACTGCGTCGATAGCAGCGAAACTTTTTCGAATACAAAGCGAATAGTGTTCATCAGCAGTCAAGTATTCGAACGGTAAATGTGTTTGATGAATTGGATGGGCGATAGCAAGACGAGCTAAACAGAAAGATAGGTTATATTCGAAAAAGAAATGAACTTCTACGAAACTGAGCTGACGTCGTGTGTTTATGTCAAATGGATTGTCCGATCCGCCAAACATGAATTGAGCAAAGTCTTCAACATTGAATGTTGATGATTGACGTTCGGCTAATAAATGAATATTTTTCGTATCATTGATTCGATAGTGTGGTTTAGCGTCTGCATATTCAGGCATCTTTTGATTTCACACAACTATAGAAGAAAAGTAAAACACGTGTCGATGTATGCGCGTAAGAAGGAGAAAAGAATAACAACATGACTGATAGTCTTGATCGAAAAGATATGAGTCATACATCACAGTCTACAGAACTGCGCTGACGTCACCAACGACATCTCCCATCATAATATTCGATATTCTTGTTCATCTTGGCTGTTTTGATTACAATACTAGTTCTGTTTATCATTATGTGAAGTATTCACAAGGAAGTTTCAGTATCACAGCCATAGGATGATAATGTCAATAAAGAAATCACATTGAGATCATAACTTACAGTTATCGAAATAAATACAAATTCTGTATCATTCATGATGTTTTACTTACTTGGAGAAGAACTTTCTAATCAATCTTCTCTCTCATAATGACCAACAAGAAGTAAATCAAAGATATTTGTCCGAAAACTTTATAAAAACGTCTTCACGTGAGTAACAAAGACGTATTTCAGGAATGGATGGTTTTGTTCTTGAAAAAGTCTTACGTTTCTCTAATCATTAAGGCTTATGGGCATAAAAAGAAAATATTCAAGCGTGGAAAGATTCCATTTGATATCATATCACCGAGGAGAAATGAGTGGAAGGCAACTACTGTCATGCAGTTCAAAGTCAAACAGGATGAAGAGTATGATTACATATGTCGTTGACGTGAATAAAATTAGTATTTGAAATTAGATAAGAGACATGGATTGAGTTCAAAGGAAGGAAAAGAGCGAAGTTTCCGTATTTAAAAAATATTCGATAGATATCTTCGCAAAAGCTTTAAAGGACGAAAATATTCTCTTTTCTCCCCTTGGTTCGATCCCGTTCTGATTGCGCAAATTTGTTATTGTTCCTATCATGTGAATATTTAGTTACATAACTATTGTAGAAATAATTACGCCATTTCAAACTAGAGAAAATCCGGCATCTGTTTAAATGTATGTGTGTTTGTTAACACGGAACAAATGATATTATTCACAACAAAGGTCTGTAGGATTTTATCGGTAATTAGTAATTCATTCATCTTTTTTTTGAAATCCTATTCTATATGAAAGGAAAATGTTTCATATGAAATATTTCTTCTATTTCATTTCTATACATTTGATCACATCTTCACCACAAATAAATCTTTATTTTACCAGGAATGAAGTAAGTGAATATGTATATAATGATGATGTGGGTATAAGATATAATTGTTTTCATCTTACTTCCAACATGAAATACGCCGAAATTAATCGACAAATCTCTTCTTATTGTATGAGTGAATCATCTTGCAAATTTCATATAGACGTTGATTCTTCATTACAAACATTTTCTTTTGCTGATCTGAAGAAAATGAATATCACCAGTGATGATTTATATCTCTGGTCAACATCGATTGATACTATTGAACAGTATGAAATCTATTTAGAAACTAAAGATTTCTCTTTATCGAAATGGACATTTTATAATTGTACATTGCCGAGATTTGGATCCAAGTGTCAATATGAATTTTCTTTTTATCATGAGAATTATTCATCATTATATGAAATGATTCATGATTATTATTTTAATTTTACTGATACTGGAAACCAATTAACTTGTTATATGCATTTAAAATGTCAACGAGGCTTTCCGCCAGCTTGTCTAGATTGGACGGAAATATGCGATGGTAAAGTCGATTGTCTTGATGGAAATTTTGACGAAGAACATTGTTGGCAGCTTGAATTAAACGAATGTCAATCGAATGAGTACCAATGCAATATGGGTGTATGTATACCTCGTGAATTTGTTCGCGATGACCGAGAATATTTTGACTGTATTGATGGATCTGATGAAGAACATGGAGTACGTAATGATGTAGCATTGGTACGTGAACCTGAACCTCCATTCGGATATGATGATATCAGATGTGAAACAGATTTTCTCTCGCGATCGTGTGAAATCAATCGGCATTTTCTTTTATCCAAATCAATGTTTTCAGTTAAAGATAATTCAGTATCAGATGATTGTTGGTCAGCTTTGAAATGTTATTTTGGTTTGTTAGATTCTCACATAGATACCGATATTAATAGTACATGTATACCGTTGATAAAGAAGACTTGTCCAGACATGTTATATGTTCCTAATATTCCAGTCTTTTTCGGACATATTTATACTGCGTACAAGATAGATGATATTCAATCTATAGAAGATTATGCCTTGCCTTATCTATGCTCAAATAAATCCTTTTATTTTGGTTCACTTGATCTGATACCAGATGTATCAATGAAAAATACGAAGTGCTTTAAAATCTCGCGATTCGACGATTGGTGGACAAAACATGGATCTACTTGGTATTTTCGATATTTCTTACCCGTAACTGATATCTATAATCAACTAAAAGAAATGAATCCAATAATTAATTTCCCTGTGAATCGGTGTAATCAATCGAATATATATCATTGCAGAAATTCATCGAAATGTATTTCATTTCATCGTCTGATAAATGACATATCCGATTGTCCATATTTCGATGATGAAGATATTTCTGAGAATACAAATCCTCAGTTATTCGTACGATTGAAACATAAATATTATAAATGTCATTTTACGAATCAATATGTTCTTCTAACTGCACTTGAAGATGGAAAATGTGATTGTGGATATTTTGACAAATCGTTTTGTGAAGATGAAAGTAAATACAAAACATTCGTCCTAAAAACGATATCTTTTCAGACAATTTGCGATCATTTCCACGAATTATATCCAATTACAATTGATGGACAAAACCAAACAGATGAAAGTGAATGTGAACAATGGGAATGTGATAATATTTACACTCATTGTGATGGAATTTGGAATTGTTTCGATGGAAAAGATGAAAACAATTGTGACTCATTCTCACAATTATTTTCTTGTTCTTCACAATATCGAATATGCGTAACGCGAGATACATCTGAATTTACTTGTCTACCAGTGAGTCAAATGAACGATGGGAAAGTCGATTGTCTTGGCGGTACTGATGAAAAGAAACTTTGCCAATTCGATTCATCAGGAACCGGTAGNTTTTTGTCTTTAAAAACAACTTCTTACTTCAGTAATAACATAAGGATGGCCGTTTGGACAATTTCAGTGCGCTAACGATAGACTTTCGTTCATCTTCGTTTATTCGTAAGCCTGGCAGATTATTTAAATATTGAAACTTCTCTACTAAAACATCAAATTTTGCTTGGTCATCATCAGTAAATGGGCCAACTTTTCTTGTCAGTTTTTGCATAGAGTCCAGACCATCTTTTTCATGCGCTTCTAAACTTCTTTTAATTGAACAGATAAAACTCTCAATATAAATCACTCGACGAATTCGTTTTAGTTCTGAGTCGATATCTTTTAATTGTTGTTCGGCAAAATTTCTGTCACAACGTTGTGTAAATAAGTAGTTTTTAACAAGAAACAATGAAGAAATAACTCGACGTTTGAATACATCTTTCGGTAAATTTTTAAATCCTTCCACTGCAATTTTGTCAATATTAATAAGGAATCCAATAATATTCGTAAATAAATTGAACTTAGCATTAGAAAAGAAGTGGTCTTTGGATGTTAAGACCGAGGAAAAGTCTTTAATAGTTGGATGAAGAACAATTTCTTTCAAACTCATTTTCATTGTTTCGTATTTTATTAATAGTTCTTGTCGGTGTTGATTCATTTCTTCCTTGGATTTGTCGCCTAAGATTTTCTTTTTAACTTGCGATATCAAACCATAGACTATGTTGAGCACTGGCATATATCGTGTACAACGATAAATTCTCTGTGAGCAGCGTGGGCATACAGGAAAACGAAACGTGCACCAGGCTCGTTTTCGTAACCGAAGAATATTTCTTGCACATAATTTCTATCACACATGTGACATTTTTGAGGGCATAGTTCGCCACACATTCCGATACCTAAGAGAAAACACTCGGGTGAGATGTATCTGCTTAGAAAATGACATAGCATCTGCCTAAGTTCAGGCAGACTGCTATGAATAGATAAAGAATGTTCATTACTGTTGAAGAAAAGTTTGAGTGTCTAATTAAAAAGAAACCGTCTACTCACTATTTATGAATATAGCTGGAAATTATAGTCATACATCATGTCGGTGTATTATTAATGGATCTATTAAAAAAAATTATTCACGTTGTCAATAATAGAACCTGTAATTATGATCAAATCCAATTGTTTAAAAGCCGTCATGAACAACAAAGAGTGACAATTACACGCTTGTTTTGTCATATATAGAAATCGAATTGTTCATGAGTTTTTCTTAACACGTTCTCATTTCGTTAAAAGGAAAGGCGTTAAGCAGCACGTGCGACGATTGATTGTATCTGTGTTCATGAAAATAAGTGGAAAGGAGAAGAAGAGTCTGATAAGTGTTCCGCTCTTTCTATGACAACAAGAAAGAGAGAGAAGAAAAATAAACGTCAGAACTGTCTTTTATTTTCATATTCTTACAAGAATTGACACACATAGAACAGGCAACAATTAACATGTAATATTTATTTGGAGATCAGAATGCCTTCCGAATTATTTTACTCGTTCAACTTTTCCATCTCTATCATCATTTCCCTCATTGGTTTAGTATTTGATCTCCTAATCATAACAATTATCATCAACTATCGAAAATGTCATACTGTCAACTATTTTCTCATAGGTGATCTATGTATGTCCTCGATTGTATACTTTATTTTTCATATTATCGGATGTTATTACGGTATTCGTGATGACTGGCATTCTCATCAACCATTATGTGTTTTTCGTGCGTATTGCATCATAGTATCGATAGCTGCTATGACTTATTCGTTCTCAATCCAAGCTATCAGTCGTTTATTTTTTTCGGTTTTTTACACGCATTCATCTTTACTTAATTGGCGCGCTCATCAGATTTTGATTCTAGTGAAATGGTTCGTGAGTTTCGTATTAGGAATAAGACTGGTTTGTATTGATAATGGTTTTGAATTGATTGAAGAACATCGCATGTGTGGAATCAGAACTAATAAACTACCTGTTGCACCATATTCAATTGGCTTTGTCTATATTCTTCCAAAAAGTATTGCAATCATAATCTATGCTATTGTTTTTCATCAAGTCCGTCTATCATCGAAGCGAGTGAAATCGAGAAACGTGACAAATATCACCACAGCTTGTATTACATTAACATTTGTCAAAAAGAATTTGATCGTCATGCGGAACATGTTGGTTATTCTAAACATTCTTGTTTGTGGCGGAGCACCGTATTTGATATTGATGCTCTGGGATTTCATTCCCAATGGGAATCCACCAAAGGAACTCTATTTTATATCAGTAAATTCCTTAGTATCAGCAACGGCAATGATGGCAATTGTTACTTTTTTCAAAGATAAAAGACTTCGAAATCGAGCGTATGCTTGGTTTGTGCAATCGAACTCCAATGCTAGAAGTTTATCTGTATTTGAATGACTTTCTTCGATCAAAACGAGCCGAGGATAATTGATTGCAAGGTCAATTTATAGCTTTAAAAAAATAATATATTGAGAAGAACGTTCTGTCTTGAATGTTTCCAAAACACAGTTCATTAGTATAATAGCTGTTGCCATCACGACATCTCCGAATCTTGCTAGCTGAAAATTTCCTAGTAATTGTCGAAGCAAACATTTTTTAGCCATCTGCGGCTATACACTCCCGGTTTACTTGATAATATGAGCAATGATGACTCTGTGTTTTTGGCCTACGGATTTCTTATTTGACGATACAGACAGAAAAGATTAGCACATCTTCGAATAGGGTACTGTGCTTGCAAAGTTCATAATTGGTAACTATTTGTAATTTATTCCTTGTTTTAGAAATGACATTGCGGTATTTCATTCAAATTATTATTCTCCAATGAGCAAACATCGTTGCTTAGTACACATTATCATTTGTTCGTCCTTTACCCATATTTTTCCGTTGTCCTATTATATCTTCCTTCTCTAATTGATATGCTTTTATCTGCTCGAATGTTCACAGGCATAATTCATGTCAAGAGGCTGCCATTAACGGCTGATCGAAAATGCTTAATGTCGATTTCTATTTTTTCAAGCGTCATTAAAGTGCTGGAAAACTTCTCTAGAAAACATCAGTAGATGCTCATTCTATTCCATTCTCAGAATATTTTTGTTATCTTATTATTAATTTTCGCCTTCTTGTATCCATTTATTTTAACCCTATTTCTCCAAGTGACATTTAACCGTTAATATCAACATGAATGTCCCTTCAATTGTCAATCGAATCTACATTTTTATCAGTTGTCTGGATTTCACCACGGCATTCGTATTTCTTACATTAGCTGTTGTTTATCGACATCAGTGCTTCAATTTTCCAACACTCTTAGCATGTAATACCGCGCTATCAATCCTTTTCTGTTCGGCTAATCACGTAGCAATAGGCGTATATATGTACATTTGGGATCAATATGAGAATCCTAACATCGATACGTTATGCTCATTACGTGCATATTTTCATCATTCTTCTGTGGCTTGCATTCATTTTTCCTTTATCCTATTGGCTCTTGAAAGATACTGTAAAGTTCGACAACTTAAACTTCTGGCAACTCCATGGCGAAAGACTTGTACGGTGCTTTTCCAATGGATAGTTGGTTTTACTTTTACTTTACCTGTCCTAGTGACAGGCAATATGCCAAAGATGGCATCGGATAACTTATGTTTTGTAACACTGTTAAAACCCGATTTTATAGTATATCAGAGTGTGACAACATTATTGACGACCGATGTTGCTTTAGGTATTCTTTATCGATCATTAGTACGTCATGTGCGCCAAGTATCGTCAAAACTCAATAATAATCAACAAACGCGGATGCACCGCGATTTGACTATGGTTCGTCGTATTGTTCTACTCAATTTTCAATTAGCTATCGTCGGAATACCAATAATCATCGTTGTTATTCTTACTCTCATTCGTGTTGATCTTATACCTCACAAAATTATGCGTATGATGCTTCTCTTATCGAATTTACCTTTCTCACCTATGTTAATTGTCCTTCTATTACTGACGCCGGATCTTCGAAAAAGTTTAATTAAATGTCGAAATAAACTGAAACATTGCCGACCAACCAAGATTACTCCCATTCACCCAATAGCACCCATCAGCCACGCTCAACGGTGAATTGTTAGAGAGTCACCAAAAGATATACAGTCGCTGATGATGCGTAGAACTTTCTCATGCATTTCGCATCGTTTTAATAATAATAACAATAATAACTTTTCATTGGTAGGAGAAAACCAACCATTGAAATAAATAAATGTGAATAATTAGCCATGCGATACGCCTGACAACGTGTACTTTGCTTGCTAACTGTATCATGTGTACTTTTTTTCTCTCACCTATATTTTTTCTCTTACGCATATATATTCACAATAAGGTATACGCCCTTAATTTCATTATTCAAATAGGTACCCGCACTAGAGATACAGTTTGGAGAGAAATGTATAGGGATCAGTCGTTGAAAGTCATTCTCCCCCATCATTCACCGGAAAAGTCTTTTCTACATGCACAAAACCGTCAACGAACACTATCGAATCTATCATCTGTGTCTTCTTCCAATGCTTACAATGCACGGCAAGCATCATTTTCATCAGGATATTCTTTTCAAGATCGTCCATCGATAGATAACGACGAGTTGTCCAGTGACGATGATAGTTTTCAATACTACGATCGACGCTTTTCACAGATTTACCGTCGACAACGTCGTACTTCATTACAATCTCTTAAATTAAAGCAACGCTCATTATCAACGTTCAAACCGAATACTCTTACTCTTCCCGCAATTGCTAGGGAGACGATTACTATTCCCAAAGCTGACAAAGATCTCTATGGGCAAACACTGCTTCATTTGGCGGCTCGTCTAGGTCATAGCGATATTCTTCGCCTACTGATTAGTGAAACATCACAAGCGAGTTCGTTGTTGAACAAACGAGGACAAACTCCACTGTTAGCAGCAATAGAAGGAGGATCGACAAATACTGCAATTCTACTGCTAGAATCCGATCCGCAGTTTATTATAAATGCTGATCATCAAAGATCGAATGTATTCCATTATGCATGTGAGTACTCCAATGATGTTGTCCTTAATCGAGCTACTGCTCTTCTCAAATGTCTCAATTCATTGAGCGATCGAGCTGTTGTAAGTTGATTCATTTTGTGGGAAAAATTTCCTTCGGACGGATTTTTCCTAGGGCTTGAGACGTGTGACAGAACAAAATTTTCTTGGTCGAAGTCCAATTGATATTGCCATATGGAAAGGTCAATTAAAATGCGTCAAACAATTCTTTTGCTCACCATGGTTGGAGGCTCACATTGATATTCGAGAATTAATTACCGCTGATTCATTGAAATGTGCTATCGATCACGATCAATTGGATATTCTCTCGTTTTTCATCAATGATACCAAACGGTTTGCTCATATTATTCAAATAGCCATCGATGTGTGTGGACAAAGTTTTAATCTAGTAAATACCCTTCCGAAAAAAGAATCGAATTATAATTCTTTCATTCCTAGCTTGAATATGCCATACATTTGAAAAAGAAAAACGTCGTTCGATTATTACTTAGTGTTTATATTCCAGCTGAACAACACGTCGTTCGTCAGCAATATAAATCATTTCTACTGCATTATCATCTATCTGATTCGGGACCATTCTATCAAACTCCAATTCAACGAATGTTAACCTCACCGGAATGTATTTCTTTGGTTCCATTGATATTAGAACAGTTTGTCGACGCCACTGGTATTGACCTATCGATCATTGATGATTGTCTCTACGTCCGACCTGACCACACACGATGTATATTTGGGCGAGGAAAGAAATTTTTAGCAAGAGATTGGTTACAAGAACACCCCCTCGGTAGGTGTTAATTTTGTCTCGGATACATGAAACTGTTTCTCTTTTGTTCAGCTTTGATTGCAAAAGCAAATTGTAAGACGATTTATGATCACCAATTAGTTCGAATCTGTGTTGATTTAAAATTTAATATCTTCGGAAATTGTCTCTATATTCTCATTCTCGGTTTCCAATCCTTGTATGTAGCATTGTACACAGGAATTACATTGGGTTCGCCAACTCCAGCGAATCAGGGCACTAATTACTTTCAGATGGTGAATTACTCGTGCAATGATTTGTGTATTCAATTATCAAATAATCCAGTTAACCCAGCGCAACATCAACCAGTAATATATGTATTCCGTATTATCTTATTAATTCTATCTTGCTTGGGTTTATTGAAAGAATTCTATCAAATGTTCACACAACGAAAGAAGTATTTCCATCGATTTTATATCAATCTTATTGAATTACATATCTTTGTAAGTTTCCATTTAAATATTCAAGCAAATTATCATTTGATATTCGTATAGGTCAGTGCAATAATCTACTCTGTCGATGTTAATGAATGTACGCGTCAAACGGGCATACGTTGTATAAACCAATGGATGACCGGTGGGATTGGACTTCTTTCTGTTTGGACATCATTGTTATTAGTAGTAATGAATGGAATTAAATTTGGAAAATACGGCCTTCTTTTCATTACCGTATTCACAACATTTCTGAAATTTATAGCCGTGTATATATTCATTTGGGTGGGCTACATCTTAGCCTTTTACATGATTTGTAAAGATATTATGGAGCAGTTTTTACCATTCAATTTTGTACCCAAGCTATTAGCCATGTTCATTGGTAAAAACTTGGATTATACGGATAGATGAATTTGAAGTTTTTCTCTCATATAGGTGAATATGACGTGGACGGCACATTTTTTCCTAATAACAATCAATTGCTGCCAGGCGCGGAAGGTGCATTGATCCTCTATAGTGCATTTATCTTTACGATGTTCGTTGTAATGACAAATATAATGGTAGGCGAACAGAAGGTCATCTTCTATGAAATCGAGAATATATCGGGTTTTTCTTTCATCTAGGGCGGTCTTGCCGTTGCTGATGTGAAAGAATTCCGGCTCAATGCAAAACGAGAGCATTTAAGATCTCGGATTGAAGTCATATTAGGATTGCAGGTTTATCTAGGTGGCTTCTGTGAAACAATTGGTTCGATTATCATGAAAATATATCGAAATCCCAAATGGCATTATTTTTTGAAGATACTTGGTTCGATGGGACCGAAATATCAATTGGAAAAACTTCGTATCATCTCCAATCCTGTGGACATTCCTTATCCAATAATCGAGGTTGAACAAAATGAAAGTTTACAACACCCGTTAGTACTCTCTATGAACGAACGATTGCAGCAAGTGTGTCCGCAAACAGGTTTTTATATTCATCATCGTACGGTGCGGAACCCTTCGATATTCTATGGAGATGATAATACGATATTACTGAAGAAAAGCGACGAGGTAAAAGACATAGTAGAAGAATCAAGTATACGGACAAATAATGAATTGAGAAAGTTGGCATT